TAGCTTCTTGTTACTACTAGTAAGGCACTTGTTACTAGTAGCGATGCCCTTGGTTACTAGTAGCTTCTTGTTACTACTAGTAAGGGTTCTTGCTCCTAGTAGCGATGCCAGGAGGTACTAGTAGCATTTTGCTCTGAAGAGATTAACACTGTGTTGCTGCAGTGTGGCTGCGACCATCTTTCTTTGTACTTCTGTCAGACTTCTCTGTTTCCTTTGCTTCGTCAAACACCTCTTGCTACATCTCAGGCGCTTGGCTACACTGCTTCCGACAGAGGGGTCTCAAAGCTGAGAATAAGTGTGCTGATTTTGGCGGAAGCAGCCCCTTGTATTGCAAGAAGCTACTAGCAATAAAGGGCATCGCTACTGGTAGCAAGGACGCTACTAGTAGCTCCTGGCCGTACTACTAGTAACAAGAAGCTACTAGTAACAAAGGGCATCGCTACTAGTAACCATTGTTCTGAGGTCACTTATTTCTACAACGGTTTCCGTGGGTTGAAACACTTGGAATGAGAGGCTGCATTGGTCTTCATGACATCAAGCCAGTGTCTGCCGTATTGTCATCATCTTGTTGTACTTGCAATGAATAGTATCCCTTCCCAGCCATTGTGGCTGCTCTAGGACTCTAGGTTGGAAGCCCTTGGAGGCCATCGCTTGTACGTTGGAGGCCATGGCAATTCGTTTGAAAGCCTTTTCCCTTCGATGGCCTCCAACCTAGTAGCGTCCTTGCTTCTAGTAGCGATGCCAGGAGCCCCTAGTAGCGATGCACTTGCTCCTAGTAGCTTATTGTTTCTAAAAGCTTCTTGTTACTACTAGTAAGGCACTTGTTACTAGTAGCGATGCACTTGCTCCTAGTAGCGTCCTTCCCTGCCTGTCAGGTTCTGGGAGCTGAAATGTCTTTGGAGCCTCGCAAAACGACAGGGTTCCCTCGAGGCGTAGCTGGGCGGCGCCAGAATGAAATCAATCAAGGAATCCTTTCAACCATTTTCAACCTGATTACGACAATACTAGGAACAAGTGCATCGCTAGTAGCAACAAGTGCCTTACTAGTAGTAAGAAGCTACTAGGAACAAGCAAATCTCTTTCTCAAATGAAAGACGGGTATAGAGAGTAGAGAGCCATGTCGTACTTTGTCTGGGAACTGACAAAGAATTGAGACTGGTGGAATGCTTTCTGGCCACAATGGTCAAACAGTGATTTTGGCCTGAGCGGCTTTGGCCTCTTTCTCCTTCTTTTTGGGTGCCATGAAGGCATCGACAAAAGGAAGGATGCAAAAGTGGGAAAACGGGTCAAAGTTGCTGCATGGTGGTCTGTTATGTCCAATGCCGCTGCCACAATAGTCGCTACACCAACCTCTTTTGCATTAGCTCTTGAGCGCCTATGGCCTCCAACGTAGTAGCGATGGCCTCCAACCTACTGCAATGAGTCTCTGCGCTCTCAGGGAGAGGGTCGTGACAAAAACCCAAGGTGTATGCCGCAGAATCCGAGACTTTCTCATGGCTTCGCCATCAACACTACTGATCTTGATATGACTTTGTAGATGCATACTGCTGAGCTCCAAGTTGTTTCCAAAGCATCTCTGCTTAGAACTTTGTGTAGTTCCAAAAGCGTGCGAAAGCTTAGCGAAAAAGGAGCCAAGACATGCACAACGTGGACAATGGTGGCTGGCCGGCCACGGCCAGCTGGGTCGATATCTAACTCAAATGGCCACGCAAGCTGCTTGGCTAGCTAGCAAACCTGTCCCACCTACCGTTCCTTTGACTCATTGTGTGAATTTGTCAATTTCATGTTAGACCACTGCCCATCTCTCTCGATCTGCTTTTCGTCACAGGGTGGTCTTTGTCCAGCTGGAGAGAGTGGTGCCTGGCGTGTATGACGCCCTTTTAGTAAAGGGAAGAAAGACAGGAACAGCGAAAGGCCTAAGAAAGAAAAGTAAGTCTAAAGGAAGGAAAGGAAAGGAAAGAAGCCCTTAAGCTGCTGAAGCCGCCTTTCTTTTTGGACGTCTACCGTGTTGGTTTTCCGGGAAAGAAAAAAGGACGTGAAGTTCATGAAAGGACCAAAGAATGGGAAAATCGGTCTACAAACACCACAACAAGAAGCATCCAAAGCATCCATCAACCCAAAACTCATAGTTGTTACAGAGACACTCAATCCAATTACTTACTCTAATGGAAATCCTCTCAGTGTACTCAAGTTTCCCTAAACATCAAGGGCGTCCAGATACTGGGAGCCTCCTAAGTAGCAACGGAGCGAGCAACTGTCTCCATTACTGAATAAATTAGAATTAAATTAGCTTATTGTTTCTAATAGCTTCTTGTTACTACTAGTAAGGCACTTGTTACTACTAGCGATGCACTTGTTCGTAGTAGCTTATTGTTCCTAATAGCTTCTTGTTACTACTAGTAAGGCACTTGTTACTACTAGCGATGCACTTGTTACTACTAGCAACAGCCTAAAATCGGACCTGAAAAAAAGAGACATCCTACACATCTGACCGGTGAGGTCGACCTCGCCTGGCGAGGTGTGCAAGTTGTAGGCGAAGACCACCCGATGGCGCACTCCATGATGTGGCGCCACACCGTGCACCAGCCAAGATGGGAAAATCAAGCTGAGCCCGGTTTTCGCATCAAAATAGGCCTCAGGTGTTCGAAGGCCTAAAACATCTTCAAAAACCAATGATCGAGTTTTGTTTCTAGCTTGGAGGCCATCGCTAGCTTGGAGGCAAGTAGGTTGGAGGCCATCGCTAGGAGCAAGGACGCTACTAGCTTGGAGGCCATCTCTGTCGCTGGGGAGCGAAGAAGCGTGAGCTTTCTCGCGTCCGGTCGTGAGCTATTTGACTTCACTTAGCTTTATATTGTACTCATAAAGGTTACCTCCTTAGCGGCCTCCCCCAAAAAAATGTTTAGGATAGATACTCCTTTATTTAAGATATACTCTCCTTAGGATCTTAGGATGCATTAAGTTAAACGTACTTCAAAAGGAACTCTTAACAGTCAAGTGCGACCTTTTGTTCCTTCTTCCTGTTCATTGCTTCTATATGCTTTTATGCTGTCTTCACTGTCTTCTTTCATTGTGAGAAAAAAAAAAAGCAAGGCTGTACGGGATCGTGAGAAGAGCACTACATGACGAGACCTTTTCTTGCGTTTCTTCCTTTCCCAACTGTCCCTTCTGTTCTTCATCTTTCAGCCTTTTTCTGTGTCTTTGTCCCATTCCGTACCCTCCATACCTTGTGACTCAGATCCAAGAAACCAACCGATGAAAGGGCGCGGTCGGCTCAAGCCTTCCTCCAACTCCACTGGAATAGCGGAAAGGCGTCGTGCCACGAGGATCCGCAAACACCGTGGGCGTCGATTTCGACGTGGATTTGGCACCATCTCCACCTGCATCTGCGTAGAAAACACCAGAGAGTAATGCCAAAGGATGATCATGAAAGGCAAGGCCCATCCTCAGTTCCACCATGTTCATCGTAACTCTCGAATCGACTCTTTTTGATTGTGAATGGTGGCAAAAAGGGCGCCTTGAGGCATCTTTTCAGCGATGGCCTCCAACCTATTAGATCTCACTGTCGCGTTCCAAAACTAGGTCTCAAATCCCTGGAAAGAATCCCTTGTCAAACATAGACCCATCGGAGATCCTTTTGACCAAATAAAAGTAGAATGTATTCCAAAGACAGAGCAGAAGCGTCGTCTCCCCAGCGGTCAGTGGGGCTGTAACGGAAGCCCAAATCGATAATTCGAGATCTTCCAAGTCTGCCGAAACGGAAGTTTCTGCATAGACTTCTTGAAGATATTCTTTGCAATTTAGCATCACCCGCCATTTAAGTTCTCTAAAGGTTGGATCGCCATAGAGTTCAGGCCATAGTTCTTGCCCTTGTTCTTGTTCGACCCCATGGGTCAACTGCCAATTGAAGAATGCATTGTTGATTTCCACATCTTGAAGCTGCCCAAAGCCCGCTTTGAAGGTGCGGTATTTCTTCAAGACAATGGATGTGAGATGGCGACAAGGCTCGCATCCCGATCCAGGCTGGGATCGGCCAGACGGCTGTGACAGTTCAATTTCCTTTGCCATAATGAACGTGGGAAACACTTGCCACATCTTCTTTTTCGGGAGGCCATCGCTAGCAGTGTTCGAATTCTCCAAATCATCGGAAGGGTTGAAGGAGTCGCGATGTGGGGAGCCCACGGTGGAGCGCCACAAGGCCTTCGGCGCTGTGGCACCTTGCTCCCAATACCGTCGCCATGTCTGCATGTGCGAACGAAGCTCGCTTGATCGAAGAAACGCTGTTGCATTCCGAACGCTATTCCAAACCTTGTGAAGTTGTGTCTTTCCGCCACCCAACGTTCCTTTGCCAGATCGATTCTCATGTGTCTCCAGCCAATTCTGTTGTTGCACCACATCACACATCCAGTCCTGGTCTTGGGGCTCACCAAAGCCACGACTCATGCGGCAGCCCAAGGCCACAGCGGCCAAGGCTTGCGACCAGAAATCCTCGTGTTCAAACGCCGTTCCACGAGACTGTTCGGCCAACGTCACCAACAAGGACGCCACCTCCGCGAACACCTCCGGAGTCGCAGCCGACGCCACAGCCAGCTGCAGGCCGGCGATCACTTGATTCACCGCTTCGTAGAGCATGTGATATTCTTCCACGGGGTCTACTGCACGGGGTCGTTCAAATTCGGAAGAAGCTGCAGCTTGAGATTCATGAGATTCGTTCGAAGCTGCTGAAGCAACAGCTTTCGACGCTTTCGTCACTTCCATCATTTCCAGGCTCCGAAGCCTCTGCGCAGCTTGTCTCAGGTAGATCTGCCAGCGTTGAAGACCTTCCGGAAGACCTTCCACTTCTCGATGGGAACTCCGGAGAGCACTTTGATCAAATTCCGACGAAGAGGCTTCTTTTGGAGCCTCCTGCTTATTTTGTGCTTGTGTTTGATCAAGTCCTTCTTTACTTGCTTCTTGGACGTTCTCTATCGCTTGATTCACCTGGCAGTCGCAGGAGAGCATCCAACAGCACACAATACTTTCAGCAACATCACGCGGACTTTCTATAGGGAAACGCGCTGCTCAAGCTCTCTCTCTCTCTCTCTGCGGATCTGCCGCACCGTGGTACGGTAGAACCACGCACAGAATGACAGGTACGCACGACGGTACGCACGACGACGGTAGCATGACGATACAAACCTCGCGATTTGGAACTCAACAAGGTGCATCTGTAGGAACAAGTGCATCGCTACTAGTGACAAGTGCCTTACTAGTAGTAACAAGAAGCTACTAGGAACAAGTGCCGTACTAGTGTGTCGGGAATCGAACAACTCCCCCAAAACATGCCACTCCGCTGTCCTATCCGTGAACTCGGTTCATTTCGACAATAAGGTATATGTATCAGGCATGGTCTTTCCAAGTTGTTGACCTTGTATCAAGTTTTAGACCTATAATCGATCTATCAAATGCCAGGGCTGTTCCTGATGTTTCATTTCAAGCGACGTCCTGCCTTTGCAGCGTGAAAGAACATAGAGACATGGGTTTCTTCTTTTCTTGTTCGTCTTTAATGGCCTCCAACCTACCGATGTCCACCCGAGTAGCGATGGTTCCCGCCTTTGCAGCGTGAACTAGTGCGGCCACTTCTGCTGAAAGGGACGTACTTCTTTGGTCGGAAGACATGTCCGACTTCTCCTTGTCAGCGGCAAAGGCGGCACATGTACAGTCAGTTTTGTCACATCCTTTGTGGACAAAGCAGACACATGCATGAGCAAGAGGGTCAACTTGGGGTCAATTGGCAAAGGCTAACGTCAAAGCTGCAAAACCTCCAAGTCCGCCTCTTTCTACAGTGGAAAGCTCCAATGACCAAAACTGCACAGCGAAAAAAAAATCCAAATTGACCACTTAGTGACCCAGCACTTGTCGCCCTTGCAGTCCCGCTGTTCGCCCACGTTCCACGGCGCATCTTCGACTTCCTGCATAGCACTCTGCGCAGCGGCAACGATGGCAGCACGGGCGGACGATGCATCCGCCACAGGCGGCGCTCTCGGGGGTAGAGGACCAAGCGAAATGGCGACGGGCGGCAAAAACCTGAAGCATCAGCGATCAACTTCCGAGTTGGGCTGTATGACTAAGATCCACGGGGGAAACATACAGGAAAGCTTTAGAGTCAATCTAAAAGGAATTTAGAGAGCAAAAACCGCAAAGCTTAGTTAAGTCTAAAGTTCGAGGTCTTGAGTAGCATGAACTTGATGTTTCCTAGGTCTTGGA